TTGGTTGGTTTGTTTGTTTGTTTTCTCCACACAGATGTAACTTTGCGGTTCAGTGGCACAAGGGGAGGGCCACTGGTCCTTCCCCATCCTATGCCAAGACTGCTTCCCTTGCAACTTGAGCACATTTTCCAAGAGGTAAAACAAATTTAACACAAAACTTCATACAGAGGTCTCATACCTTTTTCAACCAAGCCATGTCCTCATCCAGCAGGTACAATTTATTCTACTTTTACAGTGATGGTATGGAAATGAAGAGACACTAAGCATTCACTAATTGTGCTGTAGCTCTTGGGTACCTAATAAAAGACATATGTGACCAGATAGTCACAGTGCTTTTCAGGCAGCTAATTCCCTTGCACATGGATTTGCAGTGCTGTTAATGAGTGAGTCATTAGGGCAACATCAGAGGCCTAATTGAGGATCTCCAAATGTTAATGCCAGAGCTGCTAGACTGTAACTGGTTTCAGCTAAGAGCTTTAGCAGAACTTTTTCCTCAGCAGCTGAGGTCTAGGAAGAAACACATGCTGGGCTGTCCACCTTCCAGCTGAAGCTCCTGGAAATAAGAGGTATTTCTTATATCTCCAGATCAAACACTTATTGTGTGGTTTGGACGGGGTAGGTGAAGATGTCTTGGTCTAAGTCTGGATATCATGGCAAATGATTCATGTTCCCAACGGGGTAGAACCACACGTGTTGCTGCTAGCATGCAGTCCTGGGACATCACAATTTGCCCTGTCACTAGAAGCCTTCTTTGGGGAGCTTGTGCCAGAGAGGAACCCATACATCCATCATATTCAGTGTGAACTGACCCTGTTGAAAAGTGGGGCTGTCAGTTTTACTCAGGGTCAGTCTCAGCACTGTGCAAGCCACAACACTACATTCGAGTCATCTAATTAGATACCTTTATTAAATACAACCACAATTTGTAAATGTAATTGCATTGCTTTGATTTTTACTGTTTTAATAGTAATTCACGTAAGTGACTCCTATCCAATTGACAGGTGTATAGAGGTCAAGCGTTATTCAATTCAGCCTGTTCAGTTCAATCAGCATTCAGTTCTCTTCAGTGAAACCTTCCAGTAGGCTGGCCAGGAGCTGTGAGATGAAATTGTGATATTAACTGCCAGTCTTCTTGAAAGAGGTCTGAAACACCTGATTAGCAAGACAGAAGGCAGCAGAGAGCTGAAGAATCAAAACTTGTAAAAGCTCTTCTTAAATGCACAGTGATGTAGCTACCAAGCATCTTAGTAAAACAATAAATGTTATTTTACACGGATCCAAAAATACAAAGGATCCAAGGAAATGTTTTTCCCAACTGAGTGGGCATTTCCCAGGACTTGTTGGTTTTATTACCTCATCTGTACCTTTAGCTGTCAGCAAAGTAGTGCTGAAAGCTCCCTATTTAAAGCAGGTCATAGCAAACAGAAATTTACTGTCTAGCCAAAGCTTATATAAATTTACTGTGGGCAAAAGCTCAATAAAAGCTTATAAAAGTGGTACCTGTGGCTTCCAAATTAAGACCGTTTTCTCTAACTAGCCTCTTTTTTTCCCAATTTTTCCTTTTCCCTCCATTCTTAAAAAAGTAAAAAAATAAAAAAAGCAACAATATTGTGAAGGCCATAAAATCCATGTGTCCATGTGCTTATACTGAGCAGAGATCTGACATTAAAATTTTGCTAGAAGAGAAGTACAAACTTCTAGTTCAACTGGAAACGGAAACCAAGCATTCTAGAGTTGACTTTGGTGTGATTCTGAGAAACCTTATGCATTTGCCTGGCATTAATTTCCGTATGGTTATATTCCAAAACAGTCTGTCCTCCCCTTGGAAGTTAATTCCCAGCATAATTGTTCTTTGTTTACAAGCCAGTTTCTGTTACCTCCTCCAACTAACAGAGCAAAACCTCATTTCATCTTTTCATCTGATAGAAGTCTTACTGAAAGCAGCCAACACAGAACTTGTTTATGGCAGATGCTGTCCTTGTCATTAAATTATCATTGTAAAGAGCAGGGGCAGGCAATATGTTTGTTAATGTTAAGCCACTGCAAACAAAAGACTTCTTCTAGGACTCCTCTGTAGCAGAGGAGCTCTAAGCTAATCATTTTAATAAGTAGCTTAAGAGGAGTGAATAGCTCTAGTAATTAGAAATGGTCTGCAGAGCAAATAACATGCTGCTTCTGTGCCCTGTCCTGGGCTCAGTGTGTTATCTTGACTCTCAACAAGCCCAGTTCATCTAACCTAGCTTTAAGCTTTCTCTACAGCATAAGGAGGGCTGTGTACAGAGAATGCAAGATGAAATCCTCATTTAACTTTGGTTAAATGAGGTTCAGATTTAAGAGCTTCTCCTAGTTGGATGCATCTGGTCCCAGGAGCATCTCAACTCTCCCATTCTGTGAAAGGATACCTGCTGCAACTTCCCTTGGGAGCATGAAGAATAAGTTGGGCAGAAACCCACAGCCTGTGCCAAGCAGAAGCTCTCCCCTTTATTTTTGGCAAATTAACATGTCAAAACAGTTGTTCTGGAAGACAGCAATATCTAGGGATCAGAAAGCTAGTGGGTGGGGTAAACATCTCCTGAGAGATGAACATCCAAAACCAAGGAATTTGTAGTTTCTAAATGGGCAGTCCCATTTTCATATCCAAATTAAGGGGCCTAATAATAAACGTTTCAGATCTAAACAGTGTCCTAAGTGCTGCACTGGGAATTAATTCTTAATTTCATTTACCTGGGCAAGAGGCATGGTTTTCTGGAGACAGTGCCTTAGACAGATCCTGCTCCTAGGTAAAGATTTGTTATGGAAAGTTTCCCTTTGTCCGTTTGGCTGGCAGATTTGTATATGCTGGAATGAAAAACTGCTTTGCACTGGGCATGCACTGTTGTTTGCCTCAAAAGAAAGGTGAACTTGGCTTATGGCACTCATGGGACTTATTTGCACATCTGTTCTCAGTGGCAGCTTTGTTGTCTGAAAAGGTTACAGTCCTTCACCTACCCTCTTGCTCCCTATTGGGGCAGCCACTTCTGCTCCCTGCTGTGGATCACCCACCTCCAGATCTGTCAGCGGAGGCACTCACTCCCTGGCTTGTCTCAGACAATGCTAATACTGTACTTAAGCACAGCTTGAATAACCATGATTTGCTAATCATATTTCTCTTGGCTAAAGCAGGGCAGAGGATATAGTGATGTCCAGGAGGGAGATGGAATTGAACAGAGTAGGACTGTGATCTCTGTGTACAGTATTTGCAGCCCAGTGGGGCTTCCTGGACACACACTCCTTCAACTTACATACATTTCTCTCTACAAAGCAGTGAAAAATCACTGTGATTCCAAAATAGTCCCATACCCTGACTTAACTGCAGGAGGGGAAAAAAAAGTCTAACTATCAGGACAGGTAGCTGAATCACTCACAGCTTACAGCCTGCAGGGATGAGCATGGACAACCAGGGAGGCTCTGTCTGCTCCTAATACACATTGATCTACTCACTGCATGCTGAAAACCTTCAGGCTTTTATTCTGTACCACAAAGCAGTGCAATCATTTAAGTTGTACCAGATATTTACCCCCTCCCTGTCTCTCTTCAGTGACATGAATAGTGTTATAAATGCAAAGAAAATATCTGTGAAAACATGGTGTCTCACAATCAGTGAAACCCAAACTGAACTTAATAGAGCAGGCCTGGAAAATCTTCAGTAACCAGTACTCCATAAAGGCATCATACAGAGGCAACATACCTGTAATATAATATTTTGAGTTGGCTTGTTTATTTTAGAAAAAAAAAAATTATCATCAAATTACTTGGAAATGTTTACACTGAAGATGATTTTTCTCTCTATTTATTTGTTGTTTGCAAAATATGGTCATCTTTTCTCTTAATGTAGAGAACCTGATATGTACCTGCAGCCAAAACTAATGATGCTGACCAAAAACTATTCAGTGAAAATGTTTACAGGACAATAAACAATCAAAACTGCTGGAGAAATTCAGGACTGTTAAGCTACAGAAATTATTGATCAGCTGGGATTTAAGTAGTTGTTAAGCTTAATTTAAATACAGGAAGAATATCACATTTCATCAGCTTCCATCTTCAAATTTAAGAGCTTCTCAAGTCCTCATTTATACTTAAAATGTCACTGGCACATATATTAAAGCTGACAAAATCAATTTACCGCATCAAGATATTCAAGTTCATCTCCTTATTTTCCCCAATCATGTTAATTTTCCTTCAGCATTCTTTGTTAACAAAAAAACAAACAAACAAGCACTTTCTGTTCATTAGTCTGAAGTTCTTACACAATCATTTATGTGCACTTATGAGCATTGATGGCATTCGGTTCAATTGCACTTTAAAGTCCCCAACATATCTCATCCTCTGGACACTGTTTGTCTGTATCTCACTAAAAAGCCCCTGTAAAACAACCTGCCCTCCATAAACACATTTCCTAATAGGATGCTCAGAGTATTTTGAAATATGTAGTCATCCAAAGTTTAAATAATAATTAAAATTTAAAAAATAGATGTGAGCTTTGTCTGAGACTCCTGGGCTTTAGTGTTCAAGGTAAGTCATACGTCCTTTCCCACCTTCCCTTAGCCATAAGTAGAAACTCTGGGGAAGATGACTCACATATTTTCCAGCATTCTCATTTTAATCCTGATCTTTTCCCTAAGGAAAAAGGAACTCCCTCCACTTGTGTCTGCTAAAGAGAGACAGCAGACTTTACCTCATGGTTTAATTCTTTTGGAATGCTCCAAAGAAAGCTTAACACTGGTCTTCTCCTTCTTCTCGTGGCCCAGGGTTTCTTGAAACCAGTATCCTAAAGGCATCTGCCACCTCCCTCAAATGTGTCTGAAACTGGCCAGTTCAGACAGATTCCTGTGGAAATACAGGAAAGATTCAGGCATAGAAAGCAATTTCACACCAGCCATCTAAGAAAAAAAACAAAAAAGGTCTCTTTTTCAGAGTCCTTATCTTTAGGGAAATATTATTTTTCCCACAAGCATATCCTCAGACCAGACCAGCCATCCCAACAGATGTCCTAAGAAAAGCAAAGAAACCTTTAAAATAGTGTCATTTCATCACCAAGTCTTTCCCTCTCCACACACACTAGAACAATCACAGCACCTTGCAACAGCTGAAATGCTGGACTGTGTCCCTTACTATTGTTAAATGGCTGCCCTCTGTTGATTTTAACTTGCTGTCATCTGCTTTAGTCTAGTCTTATTTTCAGCGCTGCTAAGAACACAGTCTGGTAAAAAGCTTTGGAAATTCCCTATGGTAACACAGCACTTTTCCATTCAGCTATCATATCTGCAGGTATAAATCCCAAAGTTTTTACACTGGCAGTCATGAGCACTCCACAGCCATGCCTGGCATCCCAGTGCCCCCTCAATACCTTTTCAGGAGGCTGCTCACTTTCTTCTGTTCCTTTCTGCCTGTACCCCTACCTTTGCCAAGACTCACCTGGCTAGTGCAGGGACCCCTGCTCATCAATTCTGAGGTTTTCTTTGGCTTTTCCTCCTTCAGGAAAAAGGGGCAGTTGCAAAGGCAGCAATCAGATGGACTTGAAAATAGGTTGTTCTTGGAATTTTTCACCCTCAAAGATGTGTAAAGTAGGTTAAGCCTACTTACGCATAGATTAAGGCATACAGGGGACCAGTGGGCATCTGTACCTTCCATACCTCATACCATGCATTGCTTTGAGCATAGACCTAATTCTAAAGCCTTACATTCCATCCTGTGTCCTATTAACCATGCCCATCAATCCCTATAGCTCAAAACACTAGTGCATTCCCATCTTTTTCTATCACCTCTCAAGTGTGGCTCCTCCATCATAGACTATGGCTCTCCAAAAAATTCACTCCTGTCTCAACCATGAGTCTGCCCCTTCCCCTTACTTCACAAGCCTTGCCAGGACCTCTCAGTCACACATTTAGTCTGATGGCAGTGTACAGGTATGTGCAGGCTCCATGCTTCATAGTTCCATGCTGATGGGCTGCTTTGGCCTTCTGGATGATTCCCAAGCAAGTGAGAGAACACAAAGGGCACAGTTTGCTTGCAAAGCTGCTGCTAGTACGCTAGTACAGGCCAGTACGTTTCATTTACAAGGGGAAAAAAAAACTAAACAAAACAAAACCAAAAAAAAAAACACACAAAAAAAAAAGAGGATCTTTTCCTCCTTTTTGCTAATATCAATTCTCTGCTACTCCCTCCCACATTTATTCAGGGCTTTTCCTGCTGTCTCAGAAACTGAAGCTCATTATGTTTGGTAGATCTATCTACATGTGTAAAGATAAGCACCAACAGAGCTGCTCATACAATCAGCACCCTGAAGAGATGAGATCATTTCACACTTGGTGTTTGCTTCCTGTTATACTCAGGAATTTACAGTGGCTGCTGGCCACTATAAATACTGAATGACAAGAGGTGTTCCTCATATTTTACTGCAATAGCCACTGCCATGTTTTTGTCCTAAAAGTAATTTGATTTGTTGCATTGACTTCAGTGGGTTTTCACTTCTAATTAAATGTTCTTATGATGGAATGATGCAATTTTTTTTGTTCAGAAACTGGAGCTGAAAAATTTAATTCAGAACAGTTCTGCTGAAAAAAACCTCAAACTCCAAAACATACACTTTTTCACTCAGTCCCAGCAACTAAATCAGGGCACAAACTTTCCTTATCTAGAATGAACAATATTATGGAAGATCTTTTTCCTTTACTTTTAAACAGATAAGATGAACTGAGCTAAACCAGTAGTAAGCTTTCTTCAAATCTCAGCCTCCATGTTATTATCCATTTTTCCACTTCTATGCAGATATCCAGGTGAGGCAAAAATAGTTGTCTTTATCTGAAGTACAAATGGAGTTGCAAGGAAGAAGTAGTAATATTAACAAACTATTCAAGCCATGAATAATAAGCAGCATAAATGATACTTTCCTGTTGGCAAAATAATGTTTCTGATCTTGGTTTTCAGAATGTGGCATGCTAGTGGAAGAGGCACATAGTAAGTAAACGTGGACACACTTGTTCCATTTTGGACCTGAAAAAATGCTGTTTAATTAAATAAGAGGAAACTATTTCATCTCTAGTGAGTGGCTGTCACTCCCTCTCTTGTGGTCATTCTTATTTCCTTTTGCCCTTCCGATTCCTTAATAACATGATCGTGCCGGTGTTAGCAATATTCCCAGTATATCCAATGGAAATACTAAGGAGATCTATATGTTGCTATTAAGATTAATTGACAACATTGCCCCTGATGGGCAAGTAATTATCTTCTTAAGGTTTAGTTGTCTCAGTCTGAATACTTATCTTTATCCAACTAGTAAAATCAAGGTCCCACTCTATTGTTTTCTCCTACAGAGAGTGATTATTTGATAATACGGTTTCAAACACAATTTCTTCCTAAATTATCCTATCCATTCCATTATTTATTTTCTATTATCTTGAAACTCCAAAAGCCTAACTAAAAACATTAAGTGCCAAATTCACTGTAAGTTTAGAAACTCTGACTGACATCTTTAAATCCCTTTGATGAGATTCTGTGATGTCCTTCTGTCTTTTCCATTAACTTGGAGTGGTATAGTGGTGATAAAAAAATCTGGTCAGTATTTGTCTTCCAGATGTTGTGTAAATACAAGCATCTGTATTTCATCTATACTACTTTTTTCTCTCAGTAACAATGCACATTTTTCTTTAATTTTGTAAAGGCCATGCTTACTTCCTTTCCATGCCACAAAGACCCAATCTGTATACGTAGAGAATTCACAATTAAACAAAAAATAAAATAGTCTGGAACAGGTACTAGCCAAAGATCCTCTTGGGGAATTAGTTACAGTTATATTATCAGGACAGTCAGGTCTCTAATGCTGCGATACTGTCATAGTAATTCAAAGCTAAGCTACTTTATAAATATTAAATTCTTAAGCAAATAGAAATTCACAGTATACTAGTTTTGAAACATTACTTCCACCTGTCACTTTGATCCTGAATGCACAATCTGAATGGCAAAGGACTTTTCCAATATGAAGGTGCAAGTGTCAGGATTTTCATTGTAGCTCTGTATAAGAACAATATTTGTTGCTCTGTTTTTCTTCTAGAAGATATGTAAAATGCTTTCCTCTGAGAAACATCTTCTGCTCACAGGAAGAGATCTGCAGCCCTGTTCTGTTGTTGCACGTCATAATTAACATCTAGCATGCAAGTGCTAACAAAAATAAGCAAGAAACATTTCCTTATTGTCCAAGAAGGTCCCATTTGAAGCCAACACTCTCTGTTGGCCAAAGCTCATTATCTGACAAGGCCAAAAAGAAAATCCGTTATGTCTGGCTAGCATAACAGCAAGGAGGCTAGAGTATGCATCCTGCAAGAGTGCACCCTTGGCCCTGTTCATTAGACTTTGCTTAAGACAAGCCATTGCACAACAGGCATATCGGCAGTTTGAGAGCTTTACAAAAAAACCTACAGCACCATCCCAAAAACAGAAAAAGGAACATTCCTGTGGAAATGTACTTTCAGCCTTCATATGCATAATTACTCATAAAGGGACCTCTGACTTCACTGACTAGTGCATGAGCACCTGCCTGCAGGCCAGCTCTTAAAACCCGCATAGCACATGTGCATTTCTCTAACAGAACACCTGGGTGTAGATAGTTTCTTCTTGTCCATATATTCATCCTGAAGGGCTGAGTATATTTAGCTAGGTTGTGCTGAGTGAAATTGTTTGTTGGTGTATTAAAAGCTGTGAAATAATGCCTTACAATTTCTTCTTCTAAGGGGTGAGAGCCCTCCTCATCTTGCAAATGACATCTTGCAGAGAGCCAAGAAGAGATCTGTGTGTTCAACATCTTGTAATAACTTGAAATCTTTGCATCAAACTAGCAGCTTTCTCAAGAGCAGGGTCATTGTACTGACACAGAAGAGAGCAAAGCTCCAAGCTATCAAGCAGAATACAAGCAGATTAGGAAGAAATTAAATTAATCAATATGGTGCCTTCTTGGTCAAAAGTTCACTAAGAGAGAATGGAGCTGTATGATGCACCCATCTCCTTTTAATTGGCTTGGAGCTGGTTCCTACCACACTCAAGCAGATGTGGTGTCAATAGAAGTCATGCAAAGGCAGAAACTTTTAATTATTTTAAAACATCTTGCTTCATCTTGAGGAGCTGTGGTTAGGACTTGTCAGGGAGAGAGACTTAAAAAAAAAAAAAAGAAAAAGAGAGAATGGGCTAATATTTGCTGGAATAAATCTCTGAGTTTGCTTCTAAAACATTTGTGTACAGTGTTTATTAATGCAAAAGGTTAGCTGTGCAGCAGCACATAAGAAATAAAAATGCTGTAAACATTTTTGTAACCATGGGGTTTTGCAGCAGAAGCATTATGGATTACATGGGATTTATTTACATCCTTTTCTTAGCTCAAAAAATTACATCTGTCTAGAGAGGGAAGAAAAGAGGCATCATACAACTTATTACAAACCATGAAACAGCTAGCTGTGTATTGGATATTTGAACCATTAGTTATAAGGCAGAAGTAGAACTGGAATACCTTCACATATATATGACAACCCCTAGCTCTTGAGCAGTCATCACCTCTCCTAGATAACTGATAAAGAAAGAGCAGCTGAGAGAGTTAAATCTGTTTCTCACAGTAAGTAGAGGCTGTGATGGATAACATTGCTTAGGATCATTTTCATTACACTGAATCTTCAAAAAAAACATCAGCTTTTGGGAAGAGAGGGACATGCACTTTTGCTCAGATGCAATTCTGCTCTCTGACCCTTTGCACCCCACCTGAAAAGGGCTGAGCGTGGCTAGCAACTTAGCGCAGTTACTGTTACTTAGGGCAAAGAGGTATTAGTAGGCTGAGTCCTTCACGGCAGGGAAAGTCCAGGAGGCAGAAAGGGACTTTGGTTCTTTTTGTGACCAAAAAGTAACAAAAAGTTGCTAGGCAGAAATGAAACCCTCTTCAACACCCTATACATGGCAGGAATATTTGTATAAACCTTGTTTATTGAATTTTAAAATGTTACAGTTGTAGCTCCATGTCTAGCAAAGCCTAAATGCTGAGAGTAAAAGCCCTGTGATGTGTCTGGTATCTGCGCCTTTAAAGTCATAGTGCAGTAAATCAAATCTTAGAGATGATTCTGCCATGGAACTGAGCACAGCTCATGATATAATGATGAGCATCTTTAGGTATTAGCATGAACCAAAATGTGCCTCAAGTGCATAATTAAAAAACAACCTTCACTCTACCATTCTATTAAAAGTGCTTCCTATCACTAATTTGATATTTCTCTCAAATATTTTACCAACCCAATTGTGAAATTAAGCCATAACTGATTCTCTCTGGTAAAACCCAGCTCCAAATCCTACCCTGTCCTAATATCTATAACCAATAGGCTGTAAAGAGTGTTTATTGTTGGCATAACTCAATTCCCACTGGTGTTAACAGGGAACTTTACCATTGTGTTCAAAAAGAGATCAATGAAGCTAGTGCAGTAAACTTTGACAAGTACCATCTTACTTTTGTTTTCAGTCTTATGAAGCGAGAGAGAGAGAGAGAGCAGAGGAAATATTTATTGCTTATCAAATATTGATTTATTACAATACAAATTCTGGCCAGTTATAACTATTTGCCTACTGTGTTTTTTCAGAGCTCTTTTTGGTACCTGTTCCTGCTGGGATTTAGATTAGCACATAGAAGTGTTTGTTAGTATCAGTATTTCTTCATAGCGCTAACAGGATCAGTTCAACACATTTCAGTACACGTGTGAAGAGCTGCTGAAAATCATCCTAGCAAAACATTTCTTGAAAAAAAAAAAAAAACCACAAAAAACCCACAAAACAAATAAAAAACAAACAAACAGAAACAAACAAAAATAAAAACAAAAAAAACACCCAAGTTTGTGCAGGAATGGGGAATAACAGATACAAATTCTCTGATAGATAGAGCCTAAGTAACTTTACATAATTAATGAGCACTTGCTGAAAAGTCAGTAGACTTTTTCTTATGACAAACACCCTCTTTTCAAAACTCAGAAGTTATCTGTAATTTTTTTCTTTTTGGTAGAATGATTTAGACCTGTATCCCACAGCTAAGTCTCAATTCTGCAAACATCCATACAGACACTTTTAGGCAACATGGACAGTCTTTCTGCAGTCTGTGGACTGTCTTGCCTATCCAGATTGTGTAGAAGATGCTCTCTCTTCCCTATGGGCTCACCATCTCGGCACCATATGAAGTTGCCAGCTGTGCTGATGCATCCAGATGGTTCTTAGATGATTTGGAGATACACCCAGCAATTTCCAAGTCAAGGCTGGTAGCTCTCACATCTGTCCAGAACACAAGTGTCCTTCCGAAGATGACCCTGATGACATGCCTCAACCTGGGCCAAGAGTATCCCTTGCCTTATGTGTTGAGTCTTAGGATGCCCTTAAATGCTTGCAGAATTAGGGTGCTGCTTGCTAAAAAAACATAACTATTCTGAAGGCTTAACTGCTTCATACTATAAATAACTGGTTTCCTTTTTCCTCTGTGACTGGTTTTGCATTTCCTTAAGCTTCTCATTTTAAAACAAATACAGAGGAAAACAGTGTGTTTGAAGGTGACAAACTGTACATAAGGGAAAGGCATGTGCAAAGGCATGTGCAGTAGCACAAGCTATTCCTGAAATGCTTTTCTTAGTTTAATAATAAATAATCACAGCAGTCAAAGCACACAGATTGCATTAACAAGCACAGGATGACATGGAAGAATGCTCAGGTTTTTGGCTGCTGAGACTCAGTTACACAAACTATTTGCCAGAACTGACAGCTAGAGGGAAGATGGGGAGGGGCCCTCTTGGGTCTTGTGGGTCATTCATCTAATTCCTAACTACTGCAGGTGCCCCTATTTTTAATGCTCTCTTGTTTTGACCCATTTTAGTTGATATGGATTCTGGAATTTTGTGGTAAAGATCATTGTCAGGCAGACAGAGAGAGAAAAGTCCAGTGACTGGAGCCAAGTGAGGATTTTTTAACCCAGAGAAGAACACAGTACCTTG